GAGGTGATACATATAAGGAATTAGCTTCGCCAAGGACACCAGTACAGTCGTTCAGTAACCTCATCTTTGACATTCTACCCTCCAAATCTCTTCATAGAAGTTCCGACGTGGAACTATTTATGTATAACTTCCATCGTACCCATTCCCATGGCATTAAACCAAACCGATCCGATAGACCCCAATGACCTCGTACATACTGTTCTCGCCAATGGCGTCATTTATGAATTCAACTTGATCACTGTTTCAGTAAATGAATCCTTTCAATCTTATTTCATGCCTGCTGTGTTAAGGCCGAAGTTAACTCTCATTTATACTTTTTAAAAGCTCAGTAATTATCAGCTGATTTTCTTAAATTATACTCTACTCTAAAAATAGCATAAGAAGCTATATTCCGATAGATATGCATCCATGTCAGGGTACGCGGTTGTCCACCCCAATTTCCTATAATCTGGATATTGTATTTTACCACCTTCTGAGTGCGTGAATGGTCCACTCCTTTTTTTGACCTTTATCTCCAGCGAACACGTGTGCCTTTGACCGCCAATGAATAGCGGACACCCGTTTTGTTTTTTATTGGAACTCAGCAGCAGCAGAAGCTGCTGCTGCAGTAGCCCGAACGTGAGCCAAAAACCAGCAGGCTGGAAGTTAAGCTAAACGGTCAACGACCAACACCTTTCAGGCATGGACACATGAATCAGTCGAACCGGATTTCTGAACTAGAGGATATCGCCTCGAAACCCGGCAGGGACATAAAAATAATAGGCGTTGTTGAGAAGACTGAAGTAGTAAAAAAGACCTGTCCTTTAGCTCATCTTTGCCCATGACACAACGTCACCCCAAATAGGACGTGAAAGAATAACTTAGAATACATTTGTTGCCTTGCACTCTCAGACCAAGTACAACAATAATTTATATTTAACTTTTTGCAGCTCTTGTTGTGCTCTACGCCATTCACGCATTGATTCACTGCACTGTCAGTATTTTGGATTTCGATATAAACTTTTGTTAAATTAGGATCAGAAAGAAAAACATTATCTTAACGCTGTAAATGTCATCTTTTGTTTGAAAATTCTTAAGAATTGATTACAATTAAATACTTCCTTTTCGGTATTGGTCGTCCTCGATCTGAACTGGTATAGTAAGTTTTAATAGTTATTTCCTAGAACACAAAGTGTCAGGTGTCTTGTCTCGATGAACGACTGACTGTACTGATCTATTAGAAGTTGAATTCGCATTGGTCAGTATTGTAAAAGTTTCACCAGATCCATGAATTTCGGCTACGCACCACTGCAAATGTCAATTCAAAACCTGTTGGTCTAACAAGCTTTCATCGCTTTCCGTCTTAGTACTATCTTCGTCACTTACTTGACTGATGTTGTGATCTTTTTTCTTGGACTGAACGTTTTTACACTGACCTGTAAGCTGATTATTGTGATACCCAAAGACACCTGAAAATACTGACACAGTAACCACAGAACCAAATAGTAATCAATCTCCCTAAGGTGAATTGACCGACTTACATCCGTGCTACGACCTGACCTTTAATATGGACTTTTCATTTAAACCTTTCTTACAATGGCTATTGAATTATGAATTATAGTTTTACACTATTTTCATAGATTATGCAATGAGACGCCTAATTGATTTCTGTTGGACAAACGAAAGATCATACAACTTTTATGCTAATTGTTTATTAATTTGGCAATGCCTACTTAAAAAGATGCTAATTTAGCTCAGCACTACCTACCAAGATTGACCAATTGTTTTTTTTTCACCGTCGCTGTTTCAAATTAAGATGCACTAAGATGTAATTTGGGACATTTTTCAAGCCGTGTGGTCAGAATAAGTTAAGTATAAAACATAATTTGTGGAGTATTATTAATCTCTTTTTTGCCGAATTTCCGTTCAAATTGAAGTCGTGTGATTAACCATGGCCATCGATTGCGCTCCGTGTATTACAGTACGCGTGATACCAATACAACCGCAAAACAAAACGGTTTTCAGCATTTTGTTTGGATCAGATCTCGTGTTTGAGCATTTCCTAGTTACGTTCATGTGAATAGACCGAGAAAATCGACTTTGGCATCCATCAATTCAATGCACCACACCTCTCGTTCTGTACACCAGTTCGGAACAATAAACCATTCCGAGACACCTGCATGGATGATGGATCTCTAGATTTCGTGTCAATGTAGCCTTTCACTCCCTACCTTACTTCAACCGCGTAGGGTTGTGATACACTGTGAACCGCTTTCGTTCTGGGTTCACCTTAGGCACATTGTCATAGCAACCATACATACCTGTACGGTCAACTCAGGACAGAAAGCATGATTGAAACCATTTGAAGGATTGTCAGTTACGAGAATTCCAAGTACTGTTACAATTTCGGAAGTGTTAATATTCATGCTTAAATCTCGGGAATAAATCAAATCGGAGCAAGAAAATTGTATTCTGCTCAGCGTTGCATTTCCAAACATGGGTTACCATGTCAACTTGCATTTGTCCCGAATATTGTTCTTCCGTTGGTCCAGGAGGGGGGGGGGTTCAAACACCTGTAGTCGAGTACAAATATAAAACAGTTCTTCCTCAAATCTAGCTAGATTCGACTGTTTCACCTATTCTAGTACAATCTAAAGTCCTCACGAAGCAGTTTCCATTGACAACCAGTAGTCAGACAACCACCAATCCATAGTGCAGTTAACACAGCCATATTTCAAGTCACCGTGTTTTTCCACTGCCTCAACTAATCATCCTCTAACGCATCCATTGTTTCAGAATTACACTTATGAATT